CCCTCCCCTCCCCTCCCCTCCCCTCCCCTCCCTCCCCCTCCCCCCTCCCTCCCCCCTCCCCCCCCTCCCCTCCCCTCCCCTCCCTCCCCCCTCCCTCCCCCCCTCCCTCCCCTCCCCTCCCCTCCCCTCCCCTCCCCTCCCCTCCCCTCCCCTCCCCCCTCCCCTCCCCTCCCCTCCCTCCCCTCCCCTCCCCTCCCCTCCCCTCCCCTCCCCTCCTCCCCTCCCCCTCCCTCCCCTCCCCCCCCCCTCCCCTCCCCTCCCCTCCCCTCCCCTCCCTCCTCCCCCTCCCCCCCCCCCCTCCCCTCCCCCCCCCCTCCCCTCCCCTCCCCTCCCCTCCCCTCCCTCCCTCCCCTCCCCTCCCCCCCCTCCCCTCCCCTCCCCCTCCCCTCCCCTCCCTCTCCCCCCCCCCTCCTCTCCCCTCCCCTCCCCTCCCCTCCCTCCCCCCCCTCCCCTCCCCTCCCCTCCCCTCCCCCCCCCCCCTCCCCTCCCCCCTCCCCTCCCCTCCCCCCTCCCCTCCCCTCCCCTCCCCTCCCCTCCCCTCCCTCCCCCTCCCCCCTCCCCTCCCCTCCCTCCCCTCCCCCCTCCCTCCCCTCCCCTCCCCTCCCCTCCCCTCCCCTCCCCTCCCCTCCCCTCCCCTCCCCTCCCTCTCCCCTCCCTCCCCTCCCCTCCCCTCCCCTCCCCTCCCCTCCCCTCCCCTCCCCCTCCCCTCCCCTCCCCTCCCTCCCCTCCCCTCCCCTCCCTCCCCCTCCCCTCCCCTCCCCTCCCCTCCCCCCCCTCCCCTCCCCTCCCCTCCCCTCTCCTCCCCTCCCCTCCCCTCCCCTCCCCTCCCCTCCCTCCCTCCCCTCCCCTCCCCTCCCCTCCCCTCCCCTCCCCCTCCCCTCCCCTCCCCTCCCCTCCCTCCCCCTCCCCTCCCCTCCCCTCCCCTCCCCTCCCCTCCCCCCCCCTCCCCTCCCCTCCCTCCCCTCCCCTCCCCTCCCCTCCCCCCTCCCCTCCCCCCCTCCCCTCCCTCCCCTCCCCTCCCCTCCCCTCCCCTCCCCTCCCCTCCCCCTCCCCTCCCCTCCCCTCCCCTCCCCTCCCCTCCCCTCCCCTCCCCTCCCCTCCCCTCCCCTCCCCTCCCTCCCCTCCCCCTCCCCTCCCCTCCCCTCCCCTCCCCCCCCTCCCTCCCCTCCCCTCCCCTCCCCTCCCCTCCCCCCTCCCCTCCCCTCCCCTCCCCTCCCCTCCCCTCCCCTCCCTCCCCTCCCCTCCCTCCCTCCCCTCCCCTCCCCTCCCCTCCCTCCCCTCCCCTCCCCCCCCCTCCCCTCCCCTCCCCTCCCCTCCCCTCCCCTCCCCTCCCCTCCCCTCCCCTCCCCCTCCCCTCCCCTCCCCTCCCCTCCCTCCCCTCCCTCCCCTCCCTCCCTCCCTCCCCTCCCCTCCCCTCCCCTCCCCTCCCCTCCCCCCCTCCCCTCCCCTCCCCTCCCCTCCCCTCCCCTCCCCTCCCCTCCCCTCCCCTCCCCCTCCCCTCCCCTCCCCTCCCCTCCCCTCCCCTCCCCTCCCCTCCCCTCCCTCCCCTCCCCTCCCTCCCCTCCCCTCCCCTCCCCTCCCCTCCCCTCCCCCTCCCTCCCCCCCCCCCCTCCCCTCCCCTCCCTCCCTCCCCCTCCCCTCCTCCCCCCCTCCCCTCCCCTCCCTCCCCTCCCCTCCCCTCCCCTCCCTCCCTCCCTCCCTCTCCTCCTCCCCTCCCCTCCCCTCCCCTCCCTCCCTCCCCCCTCCCTCCCCTCCCCTCCCCTCCCTCTCCCCTCCCTCCCTCCCCTCCCTCCCCTCTCCCCTCCTCCCCCCCCCCTCCCCCCTCCCTCCCTCCCTCCCTCCCCTCCCTCCCTCCCTCCTCCCTCCTTCCATCCATCTCCCCTCCCTCCCTCCCTCCCTCCCCTCCCTCCCCCCTCCCCTCCCCTCCCTCCCTCCCCTCCCCTCCCTCCCTCCCCCTCCCTCCCTCCTTCCTTCCTTCCCCTCACCCTCCCTCCCCTCCCTCCCTCCCTCCCTCCCTCCCTCCCTCCCCTCCCTCCCTCCCTTCCCTCCCTCCCTCCTTCCATCCTTCCATCCGTGTACGGATGTTCCTTGATTGTGCAGATATGTCCAACAAAGTCACGGAATGAACACTCCAGCCTCTTGACAAATCAAAACATTGTGCCGTAAATCTGTGACGTCACAGGGTAGAAGGCACTAGAGTGGTGGACCCAGTGGCTTTCTATACAAAATATATCTTACCTGAATGTTACTTGAAAAATTACGGACACTTAACTATGGAAATACCGGAGCTCCAGAAATAACGACCAGGGTACAGCCTCATATAGGCCGTTAAATCGAGAGGATACTGGTATCATTAAGTCTAGCCAGCCTGCGGCCTACCCTCGTGCCCATGATGTTAGGAAGTATGCTGCTCTTGTGGCTGTTTTTGCCAATATGTCTATGTATACCGTTTTCTTGAGGTTATCTTGAGATGATTTTGGGGCTTAGCGTCCCCGCGTCCTTTTTGTTACACACCCCCAGGAAGCAGCCCGTAGCAGCTGTCTAACTCCCAGGTACCTATTTACTGCTAGGTAACAGGGGCATCAGGGTGAAAGAAACACTTTGCCTATTTGTCTCTGCCTCCACCGGGGACTGAACCCGGAACCTCAGGACTACGAATCCCAAATGCTGTCCACTCAGCTGTCTAGGGACGATAATCAGGCACAGGGGTTTTGGAGATCAAACTGGGTCCTGGCTGCCAGGTATCTCGTGAACGTCCCGGGCCCTCTGCGGTCTTGTGTTGTTTTGGGGCATCGTTCGCAGTCATCTGTCTCATCCTCGTATCGAGATCTGCGGTGCTGCCGCCTGCTGGGTAAGTTCCTGCTTTTTTCCTTCTCTTTGGGCAATTAGCTTCATGGTACCAATGGGGTCTCTCTACAGAAAACCTGTATTGATTGTAATGAAACGCCAGTTTCTGCGTGAGCCTCGGAGGCTCCCTGAACTCCTCCCTCCCACCAGTCGGCAGTTTTCATCATTCAAGAACTGGCGGGTGGGTAGCCGAGGTCATCTGAGCCAGCTCCCCCCCCCCCCCTCGGGTGGGTGGGGGGTGGCACTAACGAGTGTGAAGCTAGTTGAGTGAAGTGTTGCTTGTTTTTCTTTTTAAGGGAGTAATTTTACTTTTCTGAGGGGGGGAGCTCTATCGGCTCCTCGGAGCTAACCGGGCTGATATGAATATATTAGACTCTGGCATTAGTCAATGCACATGGAGTTCTAGGCCTACTGGGAATCACGAGCCAGAACCTGGCCCCCCTCAGAGAGGCACGAGGAGCAATGGCTTATATAAATCCCCATGTGGTTGGATTCATTCTGTGCCTGCCATCGACCGCATCGGGCACCCAGAAAGGTATGCTCCCCAAAACAAACCCCTATTCTAGTTAAAATATTGCTACTGAACGCCAAACTAGTGGACAGAACTCCCCAAATGAAAAACGAGCAAATGAACATGACGTCACCATGTCACTGCTCCGCTGTTTGTGCAAATTCCCCTCCCCGGGACGGGGGAAGGGGGAGTCCTAAAACCCCGTGCTGGCTATCCAAACCCCCAGTTCTCTGGCCGAAGGACAAAAAGCATGTAAAAACACAGACTGGAGGGAGGGAGGGATCCCGGGAAGCCTCCGGGTCTCGTCCACAAAATGGCGTTTCATTACATTCAACGCTGGTTTTCTGGGGGAGCCCCATCGGCTCCCCGGAGCTACTTACCCAAAGACAAGAGTGACTTACCAGGGAGGCACTCGACCCTCGTTTCTCAACGCGAAGTCAAGACAACTGGCTGAAACCACTGACCCAAAGCGACACGAGTCAGCTACCATGACAAGGTAGTGAGCGGCCAGGTCTCTGTTTGACCTCCAAAAACCCTGTGCCCAAATGTCAGCCCAAGACAGCAGCAAGCGCATCAAACTTACGAATGTCATGGGCACAAGGATCAATAACAGGCTGGCTTGACAAAATTACCCTGAGGACAACCTGGAAGTCCTGAACCCTTTAAGAATGAGGAAGGGAAACCAGGTCAACCCAAAGGGCGTCCTTGGCCAGAGTCCGTGACATGCAGGTAACGGCAGAGAGCCGCAACTGGACACAACACATGATGCACCCTCAGCCTAACAAACCAAGCATCAACAACCCAAGGACCTCTCCGGAAAGCAGCAGTCTCATTCTTCGCCAGAAGAGGAGACGGCTGCAAACGAACAAACCTACCACCAGAACCAAAAGAGCAGAAACCTCTACTCCAGAGAAGAGCATGAAGCTCCCCAACCCGACCACCTGAGGCCAATGTCAACAGGAAAAGTCTCTGCCAAACAATCCTGAACCAAAGAGGCCACCACAAACTAAGGAGAAGAAAGAAAGGAGGTTGTTGACCAGACCACACACTAGAAGGTGAAGGGACGACGACGTTTCGGTCCATCCTGGACCAAGAGAAAGTCTACAGAGAAAGGAGAGCACCCGGTCCAATGACCAGGATGAATCGGGTGGTGCATGAGCAGGTCAGAGGTGAAACAATGCATGAGACAGCATGCAGAATGGTGCAGATATAACATCAATGCTGGATGCAAGCTGCAGCAGCTCCGCCAGAACTGCACGATAAGGGGCGACAGTATTTGGCAGAAGATGACGGTCCTGGATCAACCATGAAAGGTAGGACAAGACAACCTTATCAGACACAGAAGTAAACCTCCGAAGGGATAAGAAATATCATAAGGACCACCAGGAAACTTCATACTACTGCTGAAACGAAACATGCAGGTGGGACACTACCAACAAAGCCTTCAGATGGGTTGAAGGCGTCAGATGGGTCTGGCTTGTCGCCCCCGATAGGCACTAGAACTCCTGGGACTGATGACACCAAACTAATATGGCACATGTCGGTTTGATAGCTTCTGGGAGCCTCCAGGACTCACCCAATAAATGTCGTTTCATTACGTGGTTTTTTATTCAACCAATTTAATAAACTTTTTTCAATTTAGGTATACGAGCGTCTTGGCATCCATATAACAAATCGAGGAGAGTCGTACTATCAGAGTCGCATGGAAGCTATAGTAAAAGAACTAAATGATGCTGGTCTTTTAGAAGAAGACAATGGCCGCAAGGTTAGTACTGTACTTTATTTTTGTTTACATTATTTAAAGTATTCCAGGAAAAAATTTTATAGCTCAGAAATGGAAGCAAATCTCTCCCTCACAAACACTAAACTCTCATATTTTAAATGGAAGGAAATGAGTCTCTCGGCAGTTTTGCACCATTATTAAACTTCAACTTGATGATGGTTTGCAGTGTGTTGGTTTTGAATTTATTAGTTCCTACCTCATTAATGTGATGTGTTCTTGATCACTCTTTTAAAGTTTATCAATTTGTATTAGTTGGTACCTGGTAGTGGAGTAGCTGGACTCTGTTACCATAGGAAGTGCTATAATAGGTAACAAGAGTTCCAGTTACCATAAACAGTTTTGCAAAAGGTAGAGAGAGTGCAATTACCATAGGAAGTGCTGCAATATGTAAAGAAAGTGCCAGTTACCCCATGAAGGCTTTAGTAGGTAGAGAGAGAGTACTACTTAACCCAGGAAGTGCCATGGTGTGTAAAGGAGGTTCCAGTTAACCTATGAACTGCTACAGTAGGAATAGTTCATTTTCCTATTGTAGCAATTTTATATAATTCAGAAAAATACTAGTCATCACAGGGTTTCCTCTCTTACAATTGATTTTTAAGCTGGCACTGATGCTCCACTTGGAGGCACCTTCAATGTCTGGCAAGGATTATACAGGAGGATGTTAATTGAAGGGAGTCAGTTGATGTAGATTTCTGTGTATTTAATACAATTATATGCTTTGTATAAATATAATTACATTTTTGTGTAGGAAGTATAGAATATTGACTTAAAATATTGTTTTTAAGTATTTTAAGTTTATATCCAGAAATTTCTATATATTTTAGGTAATGTTTGCTGATGGTGCAGATATACCATTGACAATTGTGAAATCTGATGGGGGATTTACCTATGATACGTCAGATATGGCCTGCATCAAAAACAGGATAGACGAAGAAAAGGGAGAGTGGCTCATTTATGTCACTGATGCTGGCCAGTCCCAACATTTTAAGGTAAATATAAGTACATATTTATTAACAATAATTTTCTTTTGTATTTATGCAGCCTGATATTATCTATGTGCAGGTTTCAAAGTTCTTTCCCATTTTATGGGTATGTGATCGCATGTAAAGACTTGTCAAAAATTTGTTTCATTAACATTTACTGTGCCTACTAAAATGAGAAAATATTGTGTTGGTTTCTTGTCCATTATGTAAAAACTGGTCTGCATTTGAGTAGGTACATATGTGTTAAGTATGTTTTCCTCGCGGAAGACCATTGTGGCACCCCGCACTATCTCGCTGAGATAACTCTCACTTACTAGATTGCATCAGCCTTGGAGTTCTATTTGGCTCACCAGGAACCACAGCCTTCCTCAAAGAGGTGCAGCGAGCAGGTGACACTCCATCACCTCACTGGGGAAGGCAGCCAAAAAGTTGTCTAACCAGTATAGACCACTGCTGGGTTCAAAGAGACCAAAGTCTCAAAACCCGCCACAACATACACCCCAAACCATATGAACAAACAATCGAAGTTCTCGAAACGAGCAATTGCTTGTTCGGCTCAACCCCTTCCCACTCGTTTGGGAGAGGGCCATCCTGGGCCACTGTCCTTTGGCCAGGGCCGTTAGTTCTGTTGCTGATGCATTGTGAACAACACATCTGCTGTAGGGCTCCGTGGTCATCAGTACACTGTGGAAGGCCTGATTGTTTTTCAGCTAAGTGCCAGCCTTTATTGGACTTCATCTGGTGTGGCCTGTTACTGTCTTCATCTGGTGTGGCCTGTTACTGTGCATTATTTAGGGAACTGGAATTGGAGGTGTTCGTGAACTTCACCTTGGTTTCATCCACACCTCCTCTTCCTACCCATTTGAGTGTGGCTCGCCTTGCTTCTGATCTTACACCCTGGCTTCTGGCTCCGAAACCTCAGACGGTTTCTGTGTTGAGGCAGGGTTTAGTTTGGGATGTGGCTTAGCGGTTTCCAAGCATGACTCTTACCGATTAGGGCGCAGAGGCAGTTGAGCGGGTTTGTTCGACCAAGGTTTTGGGGTTTTCCCTTCCAGCCAGCCTCTTCTTCTGAATCCTCTCCCATGGACTCTGTTTTTCTGTCTCAGGTGGTGGGAGTGGATGCCAGCTCTGCCCTGAAGCCTTCATGTTTGGTTTCCAGCACTTGGAGGGGAGTTGGATAGGGACCTGGGGTTCCCTTGGATCCCAGTTTGGTCTTCATTCCTTTGGATGTGGGCCTTTTGCTTTTGGGGATGGGTTATCTCATGTTCCCCCCCTTCTATGACTTTGATTTGAGTGCGTCTTTCCCCAGGGATCGTTTCTGCATGCCACTAGGCTCATCAGGACTGTCCTTCTGGAGGTTCTCTACCTCTCGGCTCCATCTGTCAGTAGCCTGAGAGGTTCTCTTCAAGACCTAGAGTGTCTCTAGGTCCTTCAAAACCTGGAGTTTGTCTCTGAGTTTGACTCAGCTTCTTTTGAATTTGGCTTTTCCTCTATTTTTCTGGTTGTGTTATGAGGGTCCAAAGTCTTCCTGGCTAGCAGACATTCCTCTTTTTTCCTTCTTGGTTTCTCGCAGCTTTTGTCATTCCTGCATGCTCGAGTGGTGTATGATAGCGACCATTTTTCAGTTTTTTTTTTTAGGTGGCTCTTCATTTGAGCCACTCATTGGCTGCCTGCTTGCTCCTGTTCTTTCCAGGATGCAACTCCATGCCCAACTGTCTTTGTTGTCGGTGGCCCTCATGATGAAGGACTCTGTGCACATTCACACTTGGCTTCAGTTGTGTGGTTTGTCCCTCACGGAGCTCCATGCTGCTTGGTTCCGCAAGGCCATTGAGGTACTTTGCTCTAAGATTGTTGCAGGTGCCTTCGTGTTCGACATGGCTTCTTCAGTGGCTTTGCCCAAGCTGTCTGCACCTTTGCTCCAAGAGATGGTGGCCACATTCTACACTGCCCACCTCACATATTGACAAACTGTGTTAGCCTGGTTTTTAGTTTCTTGTTTGCATCCTCTTTTTTGCCTCTCTCCTCTTTTTCTGAGGACATTGTTCCTTTACTTTTGTCCACTATGGCCACTTCTTGTTGGGTGATTTTGGATTTGTTGTGTCCCTATGGTTTTTGTTCTCGTTTCTGGGGCTGGTCAGGTAGTGCTGGAGCTTTGCTTGTTCTTGGTTGAGATAGGTCCTTGGTGGAGCCAGATTCCTGGTTGCATGTACCTACTGAGGCTGATTGATCTGCTGATCAGTGCCATTGTTGTGCTTCACAGATGGCTCCAGCCCATTGTGATTCGGGCTATTCCTTTCGTGGTTTATCCCTTGATGGAGCTCTTGGGGGGAGGTGAATCTTCTTGGTTTTAGAGCTTTTGGGGTGGGCCTCCAACCCCTCACCAGTGTTGGGTCATTTCAGTGTGTTCCTCTGAAATGGAACACTATTGGTTGAAATGACCACATCTCTTCATTGGGTGTCTCATCACTTCTTAGTTCCATAACAGGACTTGGCATAGCTCTGGTTCATCCTCGATCAGTCAGGGTTTGACCAGGTTACATATGACCACTTTGGCTCTTGTTCCCTCTTAATCTTGGGTTCAGAATTTGCTAAGTTTTGTTGTGTGGCATCAGGCATACTGCTTTCAAGTTCTCCCTTTGGGTGATTATGGCTCCCCATGTTTTGCCTGGTTTGGTCAGATCGTGGTGACTCACCTTATTTGGAGTTTGTGTTCTGGCGTACCTCGATCAATGGCTTGTGTGGAACCCTAATCAGTCCACAATGCACTCCCCTGAATATTATATTGCAGAATGTTCCATATTGACTTTTGCCTCAACCCCCCCCCCCCCCCCCCCCCCCCCCCTGGGTTGAGATATGCTGAACTCTTTACATACTATCTGAATACTGGAGCACTTGATATACCAAACTTGTACCCAAGATTGCCTATGTAATGCATCAGTTAAACTTTGTACAGTATGTGATGTAGTCCCAGTGGCGCAGTGGTAAAATACTTGCCCGGCACTTCGCGAGCGCTTTGGCCAGGGAGGATTGACCGGGCGCCAATCCTTAACTGTAGCCTCTGTTCACCCAGCAATGAATGGATACCTGGTTGTTAAACGATTTTACGGGTCAAATTCTGGGGAAAATTTGAATTAATCCATAACCCCTTAACCCAAATAACCTCTTGCAATTACAGCCTGCAAGAGGCTCTCGCACCCATTCCTGGGTGTGAGAGCCTCGGTACTGAGTGAGCAACCAAGGCTGCAGCACGTAGCATGAACTAACAGCATTGATGTTCAGCTTGTGACCACAGTATCTCCTAAAATGTCAAAATATATAAATAACTGGTATTATTTAGCGATGATAATATTACAGAAGACCCCTGACTGTGATAAAAATGACCAGGATTGTGATAATTGCAGGGTTGTGGTGATAATTAGCACTGTGTATAGTATGGTGGGAGGAGTAATCTTAGTGAGGGAGAGAGGTAGCGTCGTCTGCTGACTCTGTGTAGCCACCTGTTATTGTCTTCACTCGCCATACCAGCTTAGTGGTTCTCTATGGTGAACACAAATGTAGATACTTATATATAACATGTGTATTAGTGTAATAACAGCAAAAGGAGTATGTTGGGAGGAGTCATTTTGGTGAGGGAGGTGGCATCAGCATGACTTGTCATTCTGTGTAGGGTGGCCACTATGCTCTTTGGGCACTATACCAGCATAGTTGTACAGTTATGGCGAATAAAACATGTAGATATTTATATATAATGTGTATATATAGTGTAAAAACACCACAAACAGTATGGTTGGAGGAGGAATGTTAGTGTGTCTGGCCTTGAACGAGTGAGGGAGGGGAGGCAGCATCATCTGACTGTGTGGTAACCTCTCTTCTTGTCTGAACTACAGCTTAGTTAAACAGTTATGGTGAATAAAACATGTAGATACTTATATATAACATCTGTATATAGTGAATAAAAGCAAAAACAGTATGGTGGGAGGAATGGTGTTGGGGAATGAGGGGTTGTTGAGAGGGGGAAGGTGGCAACGTTGGCTGGCTGGCTGGTGTGTGGCGGCCAATCGTTGTTGTATTGACTCACCATACCAACTTAGTGGTTCTTTATGGTGAGCAAAACATGTAGATACTTGTATACAGAGCACCACTTGGTTTCCGAACTTTAGTTATCCGAAACTTCCAGTTTCCCGATTGGGGTTGAGGAGTCATGCTGCTCGGGTAGGAAGGGGTCCGCCAAGCATCACGCCAGCCTGTGGTGGTGGGTGGGAGATGGTCCAGTTTGCCCACTGTGATTTCACAGATTCACGGCCTATTATTCCTGTTATTTTGAATTGTCATCAGGCTGGAATGTTCATTCTGTGCTTTTGTTCTACTTATCTGCACAATTAAGAAACATCTGTGCACCATGTCGGCTCCAAATGCACGCATTGTGTCAGTATTGGCTGACTGGTGGGTGGATGGATGGGAGAGCTTAGGTGAGAGGCATAATGAGAGAGGGGAAGAATTAGTCAGAAAGGGAGGGAGAGATGCAAGGAGGGAGGGGGAGGTAGGGAGAGATGTTAGGAGGTAGGCAGGAAGGAAGGGAGGGAAGTAGTGAGAATTAGGGAGGGAGGGAAAGGCAGGCAGGCAGGCAGGGAGGGAAAGGCAGGCAGGCAGGGAGGGAAAGGCAGGCAAGCAGGGAGGGAAAGGCAGGCAGGCAGGCAGGCAGGGAGGAAGGGAGGGAGGCAGGGAGGCAGGGAGGCAGGGATGGATGTTGAGGTGAACCACGTGACCTTTGAGTGTGTGTGGGTTGGAGGAGGGTGTCGGTGGTGGGGGAGGGACCGGCTGATTCCATAAGCCTAACCATACTCGACAAACCTTTGACCCAGATTTGTTTCTTAAATGTACATCATCGTATATTTTTGGCAGGCAGACAGCAGAGGCAGAGCAGACCATCAATACTCAGAATAGACGTAAAACGTTGATAAAGCGAGAGGGGCTATTCAGTAAATTCAATTTTAATAATAAAAGGA